TCTCCTCATTCATATCTTGGATTGTCAAGAAACAACATGCAGTCGCTCGATCATCCACTGAAGCTGAGTATCGGGCACTTGCCTCTGTAGCAGCTGAAATAACATGGATTCGTCGCTTGCTTCAAGAACTCAATTGCATACAACCCACCGCCACATCTCTATTCTGCGACAACACATCCGCTATAGCCTTGGCCAACAATCCTGTCTTTCATGCAAGAACAAAGCACGTCAAGGTCTATTGTCACTACATCCGCAACTGCATTAAGGACAAAACCATTCAAATTCATCACATTTGCACCAAGGACCAACTAGCTGATCTGCTTACCAAACTGCTTCCTTCACCTCGATTCAAATTACTCGCCAGCAAGCCGGTGAAACCTCCAGATCCACCAACTTGAGGGGGGCTGTTAGACTCATCATCCTCTTATTCCGCCTCTCAAGAATCCACGTGTAATACTTATATTGGTCACACATATTTTCTGTTACTTATTATGTCTATATATAGTGTATGTACTATCATAACATGAATATAGAAATTACTTTTATGTTTCTCGTTTCTTGCCTTTTCTGCATTTCCCTTTCTGCTCTGCATTTCGACAGAGCTCTCAGTACATAGTGGTAACGATCACCAGTACCTAGCAAAAAAAGTAATGTGGCGCGTTCTGATTGAGCTCCGGACATTGTCCGTCGTCCGCACAGAATAATTTTTCCCAAATTCGGCATGTCCTTATCCCACGAATAGAGATGGAGATAAAATTACCAAAAGGTTCCATGACAAGATATATTTGATGTTATATATACTAATGATGGAAAGCCTTATAAAATAGAGAGCTTATCGTGTTCATAATACATCCCTATAACAAATTTTAAGAAGAGGTTTAACCATATTAAATACAAGACATGAGATGATCATTGTGAATAAATGTTTTAATGTAATATTTTTAGGAGAATTTGATACATAACACTCAAATATTAATTATTTACTAACTTAAATTCCTCCAAATAATGATGTCAGTAAATGGCCGACTCATCAAACCTGATCCGTCCGAAAAAAATCGGATTCAGGTTTAAACAAATCGGGTTGATTTCTATCAACCCTATTTATACCTAAAAATAAATAGTTTAATATTTCGTTCTTTACATTATTTTATTTCTTGGTATATTCTTCTTATCATTAATTAATTAACTTAAAATTTATGATTCAAAAGTTAATAAAAATATATTTTTTAATAAAAACGAATTTTCGGCTTGAGTTCAAGTTACCTATCGGGTTTGAGTCCAACTCTTTGACCTGTTTATTAAACTAGTCGGATTACATATTTTAATACCCCTATATCCTCTTTTTTTTTTTTTTTAATTATCACCTAAATCTCAAAATTTATAACAAAATTCCAACCCATACTTTTTAAAAGTAATATTAATTCTATAAATAGATATATTTTTTTAATCATATAAGTTAAAAATAATGGTCAGAACATATTAATTTGAATGAATATATTGAACATTTTTTTTTATAAAGTTAGTGAGGCGGCTGATTTTTTCATCATGTCTTTGTCTGCTATCACCTCATTTGGGCGTTTGGGTCAAGGTTGATTTTAATTTCAGCAGCTGGAAGGCCTTTCGTTTTTGCTTCTAAACTTGTTCGACCAACTCTTCTAATAATTGCGACGACTTATTGAGGATCCTTATCAAGTAACGAATAAATATATTTTTTTAATATAAATTATTTGGATGCATTGATATTAAAGGATAGAAAGTTTATAATTTGACTAAGAAAATGTAAGAGTATTCCAAAAATATTATCTTTGCTATATTAAAATTACATTATATTTATTTTACTTTTAATCAAATAAAAATAATAATTATTTGAATTTATTTTATATTCGTCCAAACAACTCTAAAATATTTTAAATATATTACGTGTATTTTACAATACATTCCTTTTTAAACAAACTAAATAAATCATCCATAAAAATACTAAGGCTTTGATTGGTACGACTTTCATACTGTTTCTTAGATCAATTTTTTAGTTAAATTTTTTTAATTTTTTAACTAAAAATTTGTTTTAAAAAACAGTAAGAAAGCTGTCCCAAACAAAGCCTAAATTAGATCACACAACTACTTTGCCTTTGATAATCCAATATCTTAAACGTTAGAAACACTACATATTAACTTTATCCTATATTATGACCATCATACTCTTAGGTTTATAAAAACCAATCACCAAATGAAAACCTAAACTCATGCATACAAAATGAATAGAATTTCAAACACAAAACAAATGTTGAGAATAAAGCTTTTGATGCCTTATCCTGAGTCTCCTTAGAATCATAAATTCTTAGCCTTTCAAGTACAAAAGATAACTATTTTACCTAATATGAATTTCATCTTACTTAACATGATCACATAGATAAACCTCTTTCTCAACTAGCCTATTTTTCACCATTCATGATTTAAAAAAATAAAATTTATGCACAAGTTTCGAATCTAATACCTCTTAATTAGTTGTCAAAACTCCCAACCAACAAATTAATATGAATTGTATAAGAACGCATAGTTAATATAGTAACATAGGAGATTAAACATGTAATGCTAATTTGGTTGCACCATCCCAACTTAATCTGATTACTACAATTCCATCTTGGCCGCATCAATAATCATGTTCTAAAAATAAAGAATAAAAATATAACACCATTTTCCTAATAAACCCTAACAAAAATCGAAGTAGTCTACAAGGCTTCATTTGGGACAAATTTTTTACTATTTTCTAAAGCACCTTTTAATATAAATTTTTTTTGAACTAAAAACTTTTGTACTCGAAAGCTACTTTAAGATATACTAAGAAAGTTGTCCTAAATGAAACCTAAGCCACGAAAAATTATTACGTCCTCCGACTGGACGTAGAGGAACGTCCGGACGAAGGCCAAATCGCGCCAAAAAATGAGAAATACCGAGCAAATACCAAGCAATACCAAACAATAACGAGGAATACCATCATGTGAAGACCCAATACCGAATTATACCGAGCTATACCGAGCAATACCGAGTTGTACAAAAGTTGTACCGAGTTTTTCCTAGAAAAAACTCGGTACAACTTAGTATTGCTCGGTATAGCTCGATATTGGTCTTCACAGAGCGGTATTTCTCGTTATTATCAAATAATACCTAGCAATACCGAGCAAATACCGAGTTTTTTGGCGGGATTTTTCCTCCGACCGGACATTCCTCTACGTCCTTACACCGGACCTAATAAATTCAACTTTATTTTCTCCTAAACCAAATATGCCTACATGATACTTAATAGTACATAGTACACTACAATGCTCTTGAATTTTGATAAGTGCAGCATACTACAAGCCTAAAATCATCTCCAACCGAACTGATTTTACAACATTTCAGAGTGTAAAATGATTTTTTCGGTTGGAGATGCCCTAAAGCCTTCCCATTCATAAGAATTTGACATCCTTAACGAGTTTTGAAGAATAGAATATATGGTATTGAACAAGCATTCTGATCTGGATGAAAGGAAGTCTTAAATATTTTTAATTTTCTAATACACATCTAAAATGATATGAACAACGTAAAATGCACACAAATTCACGGGCCAATTCATAGAGGTCCCACTAACAAGGCAAATTATTGCGTCCGGTGTCCGGATTCGTCCGGACACCAATCCGGTGTCGCCACGTCACCAAAATGCATCGGGACTCAATGTATTTGAGTGACGTGGCATCACCGGATTGGATGTCCGGACATCCGATGACCGGACACAATAATTCGCCCACTAACAAAAGGTATACTGGGAGCTGTTATGCACTAAAGGCAGTAACCATTGCTCAAGTCCAGTCCTCACAAAATTCGCATGTCACAAAATCTAAAATATAACAAATATTTATCACATCTGATAAAAAAGACAAAATGATGAGAATCAATATGAAAAACTAATACTTTTTTTATACAAGAAACGACAAATTAAAAATTGGAACCACTTAAACCAGGCAACAAGTATAAAATCAAATAATCCTAGAAGATTAGCTAGATGCATAAAACTTGAAATAAATTATGCATGCAAACTAATAATAAATTTTAGGAAAAGAAAATATAAATTAACGAAAAAAAACACAGCAAATCAAATGAATCTAACCCGAAGTTATTCTAAGGTTTCGTCTGAGATGATTTTTTTCCTATTTTTTAAAATAGCTTTCAAGTACAAAATTTTCTTGGACTAGAAATTTTTTATTAGAAAGCATTCATACTTCATTTGAAATGGCTTTCTTACTACTTCTTAAAGCAGCTTTTCAAAACAAAAATTAAAATTTTTATACTAGAAGCTTACTTTAAGAAAGCCGTCCCAAACAAAGCCCCAAGTCTCCCACTTGATCAATGAGCTGAATCCTTAAAGGAAAAAAAAATCACATCCAATTAGAAGTCTATTCAGAACAAAATAATTAAGTTTTGTGCAAGACACGGCCCTATGAAAAAAAAAAAAAAACCTTTGGAATCCCAATTCAAGGAGTGTATGCAGCTAAAAGGCGCGCTCCCCTGGTACCAGAAAAAAATAACCAGAAATATCATCAACCGCAATAGACATGCCTGCTGTTGAAGAATAAGAAAACTACAGAAGCAAGAAACCAATTTCACCCTAAAAATGCCACAAAAGAGATGTAAAACCTGCATCAATCGTGAAAGGGAGAACGAAGCGATAACCACAGAAATTAAGGCCACAGAGAGAAATCCACATCACGTTCAAACAGAGCAAAAAACAAAAAAGAATAGAGAAGAAGATGGAGATGATAGAACAGGTCATAGGTTCTTATAATCTACCAACATAAAGAATGCATATTAAAATGTGAAGTCATCTTTAGCAAGCAACAAAACAAAGAATATTAAGAGCGAGTAATTTATCAACTTCTCTAGAAACATTTCTCTACTAATCCCTCAAGAAATCCATCTAGGGTTAATGATCCATAAAATGTAAGAACAAGTTTGTTTGAAATGTATTGCTCAGAAAATTTTGAACTCGCGTTAAGAAACGAATTTATGCAAAACAATTATGACTATTTGTTCCACGCACCAGCATAGATGAAAAAAAAAAAACCAATTGTTTGTGAAACATACCAGCAGAATTACAACAAGGCGGCAACTCAATGGAAGAAAGCTCGAACCGGTATGATAATTTAGTGAGATACTAAGAGGCCTGAACAAGAATAAGTTCAGTTAACATCAGCTTCCCTTTATTTATATCATCTGGCTTTGTGCAGACCAGTTTTGAGTGTGAGAGACTTACAGAACATCTTTATCACTGAGTCAATCGACTAGCTTGCACTGAATCACAATCCGAATCTTCCACCACTGATACAATTCAAATACTTCAGTGAAATAAACATTTGAACTTTGTTTTTGAACATAATTACATGTAAAAATACTATCAAATAAACTAGCAGAGAAATTATGTACTTCGTACAGTTGTATACAGATTTTTACCTTCCTAGAACTAGATGGGTACAAGAAGCTCATCTTCCATAGATTTTACCATCTTATATTGTTTTGTTTCTCATTAAACGCAAAGCATTCTGAGCATCCTTTCCTTTTCCATCACCTGATAAGCGTTTTGAACTCCGCTTCTCACTAGGCCTTTTATTTTCCAGTAATGGTAGGTCTTATATCTGTTGTCCAAGTTCAACATTCTGATGCCATTAGTAATTTAGTACCTTAATGTCATGTAAATATTCGCCTTTCTAGTACAGTTAGTGTACAATAACAAATTCTGCAGCAGAGAAAAAACTTCAATAAAATTGAAACAAGCCTTTCTTTCGTTAATCCATAGGTTTGGCCAAGTAAAAGCAAGCAATTCCTGGCATATCAACCCAAGTATTTTCTAATTTGGTAATCAAATAAAAGTTCTATACAGGAATATTAAGTCGTACTACCACAATCGCAATGTAGCAATCATAAACAAAAGAAAATGATCCAGTTATGCCCCTATCCTCAAAAATCAAAACAAAACTTGCCATGGTTTCAGAGAAGAAAAATAGTTCCAAGTGTTGATTGTAATGTCCGAAATTCAATTTCATCAACCGAAGTAAAAGCATGGACTAACAAAAGGAAAAACTCAGAGTATTAAGGCACTTCAAGTCACTTCAAGTCAATCTAGGAAGTCATCAAAAGATCATAACTTTTTTTTTTATCTGATAAGAAAATCTAAATGGTTTATTGGAATATAACAATTCTGTTTTATTATGCAATAAGACTTTTCCTAAGATTTCAATAATTTAAGACAACCAGGTTGAATTGGTTAGAATGTCACCTAATTTAAAACACAAAAAGAATTTTTTCATGAAAATTTTTAATAATAAGATTAAAAATCAATTTTTGAAAAATTAAGAACTAACAATATCAAAGTATTTCAGAACACATTAGGACCACATCTCTTGACTTAATGGACAATTCATTAAATCTCTCGTGTTAATACTTTATAATAATATCATATTACAAAACAAAAAAATGGAGATCTTCTTTATGTTGCTCGGTCTTTCATGCTCTACAATAATATTCCGAAACATTTTTGGTGGGATGCTCTCCTCATTGCTACTTATTTAATAAATTGTACACACTTTAGAATCCGCAAGTTTCAAAGGTACGTACAAAAACTACTATAATCATGTCCTCAAGCTAGAATCATATTTGTAATTTCTATATATATATTTTTCATTTTCTACATTTATTCATATTCTCATAATAGTGGAAATTTTGATCCTATAGTCATCAAGTCATTTTTGCAAGGGTTTTCTCTAAATCATAAAGGACACATGTGCTTCTCTCCCACAAATAAAAAATACTTTGATTCCAATGATGGAAGCTACCTTCTTTAAGAATCAAACATTAACCCAAAGCTAACATTCAAGAAAAGAATGAACACTAAACTTGGGGTGTCAAAAATATTCCGCCTATACTTATGTGTCTCGAGTGAGAAGAACCCAATTTATTAGATAAATCATTCCATGAAGCTAATCTTCTTTCCAACAAAGAGTTCAGGGTACCAATAAAAATAAAAACTTCTAAGTAAAATATTTGATACACATCGAACCTGATCAAAACTCGAACTTAGCCCAAATTACTCAAGGTAGCATCTTTCTAAAAAATGTGCTCAGTGAACAACCAGTGAACAACGCAAATTGGCGTATTGCTCTTAGAGAATGCATGAGATCGTCTAGATAGCATCCCTTCACAATGGCATCTCTTATAAGCGGCTCAAACCAAATTTCAAGCTTTCATTATCAGCCTTGATACTATCCAAATTCCCACCAACATTCAAGAAGTACTAAAAGTTCTTGAATCGAAAAAAACCATTATGGAGGAGATGCATACCCTAAAAAAAGAATCAAATTTGGAGATTACTAATTTACTCGTAGGAAAGAACCCAAATGGGTGTAGGCTTCACTTGATCTTCTTCATGGTCAAGCACAACAAATAGTGGAGTTTTGATACAAAAAAAGCCTGATTGGTTGTATAAGTCTTCACTCAATCTTGTGGCATTAACCACCAGGAGAACTTTGTACATTTGGAAAAACTCAAAACAACTCAGGTTCATCCATCATAACCTACAAATCTAGATTGGCCTTTGTGCAATTTAATGTTAAAAAAATGCATTCTTGAAAGGAGACTTGAAGAAGCATTCATGAAGCCAATCCCTCAATTTGAGAACACAACAACAATAACAACAAGTTTTTTATCCCACTATATCGGATCAGCTACATGAATCATTTCTCTCCATTGTGTCCAATTAAGAGTCAAATTCTCATTTAAATCTAATAAAAAAATATCTTCTTTAATACTTTCTAACCAAATCTTTTTACGTCTACCTCTATCTTTCTTAATATAGGCCAAATATAATACATCTACTCTCCTAACAGGGTTATCTGGAGGCCGACAATTTAAGTGGCCAAACCATCTAAAGTGACCTTCTCTAATCTTATTTGTCACTGGAGCTACTCCAACCTTTTCACGTATATACTCGGTTCGTATTTTGTCTCAAAGTATAAAGCCACTCATCCACCTGAGCATCCTCATCTCCACAACACTACACTTAACCTTTTCACGTATATACTCAGTTCGTATTTTGTCTCAAAGTATAAAGTCACTCATCCACCTGAGCATCCTCATCTCCACAACACTACACTTAATTTTATGTTTCTCTTTCAATGACTAACATTTTGTGCCATAAAGTATTGCAGGTTTCACCACAACAACAACAAGCCTTTATCCCACTATGTGGGATTGGCTACATGAATCTTTTTTCTCCATTGTGTCCTATTAAGAGTCAAATTATCATCTAAATCTAATGAAGAAATGTCATTTCTAATATTTTCTAACCAAGTATTTTTAGGTCTACTTCTACCTTGCTTAACATAAGTCAAATCTAATACATCTGTTTTCCTAACCGGTTCATTCAACAACAACAACAATGCAATATTCTTAATATCACTAGCCACTTTTTCCCACATAACATTAGCATCCTCATGCACAGACAAAATCTTAAGATCTAAAATCTTACTCACAAAAATATTTTGGTTAATATTCTTTAAAAGCCAAACCATCTAAGGCGACTCTCTCTAATCTTATCTTCCACAGGAGCTACTCCAACATTTTCATATATATGCTCATTTCATATTATGTCTTAAAAGTAAAGCAACTCATCCAACTAAGCATCCTCATCTCTGCAACACTTAACATTATGCTTCTCTTTTAATGGCCAACATTCATAACACATTGCAGGTCTCACTACCATCTTATAGAAATTTCCCTTAAGTTTGAGAGGGACTTTTCTATCACAAAACAAGTCTAATGTATTCCTCCGATTCAACAATCCAACTTGAATTCTACTAATAATATCCCCATCTATTTCACCATCACTCTGAACAATAAACTCAATATATATAAAATGTGTGCTCTTATTAATGACTTGATTTAGGGGTGTCAAAAGTTGACACGACCCGAAACCCGACCCATACCCGACCTGGAAAAATCCGGGTTCGGGTCAAACCATTTATGAAACGGGTCGGGTCTGGATTCGGATTTCTGACCCGTATGAAAAAGCGTGTTGGGTTCTGGTTGACCCAACAACTCGCAGATCGACCTGTTTCCCGCCCGTCACTCAGGTCGTGTCCGCCCTGCCCATCATGTTTCGTTTGTGTTAAGTCGCATCCACGTCACGGCGACAGGTTGTGTCCGCATCATAAGTCGCGTCCGAGTCCAGGTGTCTCACTTCCGCTGCTCGGCGCTTCCCGTGTCCCGTCCAAGAGTCTCGCGTCAGGGCGTCACGTCCGGCGCCCGCATCCGCGTCCAGCCCTCTGGCCCATCCAGGCATCCCGCGTCCAGCGGCCCAGGCATCCTGCGTCCGCATCCAAGCATCCCGCGTCCGCTCCGCAGCCTTTGGTCGTCCTCTTCGCTTGGCTCCGGCACTCCGCAGATGTTCGTTGGTCGGGTCGTGTCAACCCGGTAACCCGCACGGGTCGGGTCCGGGTTGACAAATCTGACCTGTTTACAAAATTGGCTTGGGTTAGAGTCAACCCGTTTATGGTCGGGTCAAGTCGGGTTCGACCCGAACCCGAACCATTGACCCGAATTGACACCCCTAACTTGATTGCCCAAAGTCACAATCCTCCATTAGATCTATTACTATTAAAATTACACTTTATATATTCAGTTTTAGATATGCTCAAATGAAAATCTTTAGACTCTAATGTTGACCTCCATAATTCAAGTTTACCTCCAACTCCCTCTCTAGTCTTATAAACAAGAAAAATACCATCAGCAAAACACATACACCAGGGTACAACCTCTTTTAAATGTCTAGTGAGTACATCCATGAATAAAGCAAAAAGATATGGGCTTAAGGCTGAACCTTGACGTAATCCAATTGAAATAGGAAAATATTTGGTCAAACCACCTTGTATTTGAACACAAGTAACAGCTCTTGCATATATATCCTTAATAACTTGAATATAAGCATTATTAACCCCTATCTTATGTAGAACTCTCCATAGCACTTCTCTAGAAACTTTATCATATCCTTTATCTATATCAATAAAAATCATACGAAGATCCTCCTTATTCTCTGTGTACTTCTCCATAAAACCTCTCAATAAATGTATAACTTTCATAGTAGACCTACCTGACATGAATCCAAATTGATTTTGAGAAACATTAGTGTCATGTCGCAACCTATGCTCCATAACTCTCTCCCATAATTTTAAAGTATGACACATTAGCTTAATTCCTTTAAGATTCGCACAATCTTGTGCATCATCTTTATTCTTAAAAATAGGAATCAACACACTAATTCTCTACTCATATGACGTCTTTTTAGTCTTCAAAATAATATTAAAAAGTTTAGTGAGCCACGTCTTTTTAGTCTTAAAAATAATATTAAAAGTTTAGTAAGCCAAGAAATTCCCTCATCTCCTAAGCATTTTCACACTTCTATTGGAATAACATCAGGTCCAACACTTTTCCACACTTCATTTTCTTTAAAGCCTCTTTAACTTCAATTAAACTAATACGCCGATAAAAAAATATAAACTAATAATATCCCCATCTATTTCACCATCGCTTTGAACAATATATTTGAGAACCTAAAATGCCCACTTTTTGGCATGCAAATTAAAGAGATCTTTTGACGTATTAAAAAGCTTTCCAAGTGCTTGATTCAAGAGAATCACATAATTTGCAAGACTCCATAACTACTAAGAATTTCAAGCCAACTACGCTCTTAATGAAGAAATTCTAAGAATGCATGGTATCTATCTTAATTATTTATTACAATGATATAATTGCTATTGGAAATTTTGAAGAAAAAGTAATTGACCTCAAGAAAATTTGAGCACAATAATTTGAAATTAAAGATTTATAAAGCCTTAAATATTTCTTAGAAATGGAGTTTGTAGATCAAAACAAGGGATCTATATCTCCCAAAAAAAAAAAATTTTCATAGAACTTTTAAATAAATATAGTATGTTGGGTTGTGAACCAACATACACACCAAAACTTAGAAAGGCTGAAGACACCAATTGATAAAGGAAGATATGAAAGACTTGTTGAAAAGTTATATATCTTTCACATACAAGGCTTGATATCGGGTTTTATGATAGTATTGTGAACCAATTTATGAACGATTCAAGGGAGTAATGTATGGATGCCTTGTATAGAATTTTTAAGTATTTGAAGGTGATTCCAAGAAAATGGTTAGTCTCTAAAAAAAGGTCAAATTGAGAGGTATGAATCTATTGTGTAGACTGCGCCAACTATGATAGTGATTGAGAGTCCAAATCTATGTATTGCTCAATTGTTTGCGGGTAACTTAAATATCTGGACAAACAAGAGACAAAATGGCATATGAGTGTAGAAAACTATATTTCATGCAATGGCTTATGATATATGTAAAAAGAGTTTTGATCAAAATAGAATGGACAATTAATCTTCTTAGTGATAATCAATCTACTATCTTTATCGCAAAGAACCATATTCATCGTGATATAGCCAGCCCTGTTAAAATTGATAGCTATTTTATTAAAAAATTGATACTAATGTTATCAAATTCATATCAAATTAGTCTACACTCCTATTGTTAACACCGAAAATTAACATCACTCTTTAGTCTAGACATTAAATTTATGTCAACCTATTCACTTAGAAAATAGCTTTAGCAAGAGCATTGTGTTTACTGGTTTGAAAATAGAAAGAATAATATATTGCAATATTTGTGGAATCAATAATGATTTTGAATATTTATAACATTATAAAATGGTTAGAGGTCTCAAGGTAGACCTAGAGTTGGCTCCAAGATGCATTGTAGTTGATGCCTATATACCTTTTAAGAGAGATGAATCTCAATAAGATAAGATTAAATCCAATGTAGTTTTTTATATTATATTTATTATTGACAATTTATATTCTACTATGCTTGCCCTATGGTGATGCGCATACTGTGATGCCCAAGAGTTCTATAAATGATCATAAGAGATCCGGATTGTTTCATTGAATTTACATAGACCAAAACAATGTTAATGTTGTGTCACAGTATTTGCACCTGCAAGGCTAGATAATTTGTGGTCGGTTGGAATTCAAGGGACAACAAAAATCTTTCAAGCATGTTAAAAGAATATGATTAGTATTCTCAAAATAGCTTTATTTTAAAGGTCTTACACTGTGATGGAAAATATAAAATTCAACATATGATATTTTAAATATTAAGAAGCATCTTACAAATAGATAGTGAAACTTATACATTTTGTTTGAGACAATAAATATCTACATAAAAATATTGTAATAACATAAAAAAGGGCTTCTGGCAATGCGAAGTGAAATCAAAACATGACTATCCTTGTTACCAATTATCAAGCCATTTCACGATGTCATCGAGCAAATTGAGAAGGTTGTCAAATAATAATAACATTACTAATTGGTATAAAATAGTTTTGTACCATACCTCCAAACATAAGGTGATGGTTGTATGAATCCCTCAACAAGAAGCTAGAAGTCTCCTTTCACTCTCTCATTCTTCTCTGAGCTCCCTTCATCATTGTCGAGCAACAAGAAGGCAAACGTTTGGAACAGTCACAAGCTTAGATGGTCCAGCTCAGGCAATCCGAGGTCATCCTACATATGCCAAAGATCACCTCGGCAAGACAAGGAGACAACTTGATAATGTAGGAAATCATCTCAGTAGCCAAAGATTATTGGCCACATTGAAGAACATATTGATAGGTGTGTGCATGAAATCACCTTGTCTATGCAAGTTGTTATGTTATCGATAAAAAAGTTGAGAAGTCACCAAGGATCTAAACAATTTAATTGATGTGGTAGGCTAGGGGGGATGATAGAGGGTGCGAAGCACCAAGTTATATGTGATATTCTATATTATTCGGCACAACTAAATAGTCTTCAAAGATTCAGAGATCAGAGATGCACTCCTACGATTTTGAAGTCATTATAACCATATTGAAAAGAGTTGATAGGCGAAATTGCTGACAAGGTTGCCAAGATGAGTATATGACAACAAATCAAAGAACTGTAAAATAGAATAGCAGGATGTGCTGTGTAGAGTCCCATGAAGAGCAAAATATGTAAGTCAGAAATATAACATTGAGGTACAGAAATCGAGATGCTTTGGATTGTCCTAGCATTGATGAGTAGCCCAGGAAGCAGAAGATCAATATATGGTGTTGGACGTTGGAGCTTGTGGTGCAGAGATAGGATTAAAGATAGCAGTTCAAACAAACGAGATGAAAGACAAATCAAGACAGCTAAATCGTCATCCAAGTAATGGCTAGTCGACTTTGGAAGATCACGTGGCAAGACTCCTGTGATATGATAGGCCATGATTTACAGATTTGAGGTGCTAAGATCAATAAGCCGTAGGGTGTTGAATGGTTAGTATAGAGTACCATGCTCTAAATATGACGTGCCTAGCTCTGGGCACATACGACAGATAAATTTTGGGATGGCTAAAACTTCATTGGAGTGTTTTGACTCTATCCAATTTGCGAAATACTGTAGCTATGATCCGTTAGGATTTACCTTGAGTTTTCTCATTTTATTAGACTTGTAAAGTATCTGCACTTATTAAATCCTTTTTACAAGTCATGATAGGTAATAAATTGTCTTTGGAACCAAAACATTAGCATATGGAAAGTTGATTTGTAATTGTCCTTGTTGGAATTGGACTCCTCGGAGATATCTCTAAAAAATCAATATCACCGACTATAAAACTATCATACACATAACAACAAGAATCATATATGATTAATCTAATCATATTGAAGAAATTTTAGTTCATGAAGATTATTTTTAGGATGTTTTAAATGTTAAAGAAGATTTGCCATTACAATATAAATTTAGATCTAATTTTGATGGATTTGAATCTGCATCCATGTTAGAATGTGCTCATGAACCTAAACCGCTAAACGTAAACTTAAGAAAGAGCCAAAATTTGAGTCTAAAATAAATATTGAGCATAAGATCATACATGAAGAAACTACAATTAGAATATGAATATATTATTGAATGTGAACATGAACTTCTAATAAAAATTAATTATATCCTTGAATATGAAGTTGAACAAATCATGCATGTTGTAGTAAATAGGTCTGAGGAAACTAATAAAAAATAAAAAAATAAAAAATAAAAACAAAAATTAAAATAAAAAAAAAATAAAATAAAAAAGGTCTGATGAAATTAATAAAATATCTCCAAAGAGATTATTTATTAACATTATTCCTATGATGAACGATAAAAGTGAAATTGATTTTATTTTTTATTTGTGGTCTCTTAATATATCAACAAATAAAAAAAATAATATGATGAGAGTTAAGTTATGTTTATAATTCAAGCAATTTGTTGTTAACAATTTTTCTAAAAAAAACCCTGAAATTTAAAATTTCATCGAACAAATTAAAACTAAAAGTACATAATCCACCACGACTAATCTTTAAGCCATTTGAGCATTTTTCTAAATGTTTCATGTCCACATAGAATTATCATACTTAGGTGATATATTTGCTTCGAATTTTCTTTTACATTCTATCTTCTAGAAATTACTTATTTATAATTTTTTTATTATTACTTATAAAGTATAATAGTATTTCATTGCTTATTTTATATTATGTCAGTTTGCATACTGATGTAGTGGATCATCAGAAGAATCGACCTGCAAGAATGATTTCGATCCCAATCCAGGGAAGAAGAGGAACAAAAGCTTCAAAGCTTTAAAATGTCATAATATTCTTCAATGAGCCATCCTACTACAATACTTGATATTTATAAAGCTAAAAGAGCATTCTAGAAGCTAGTACTAACAAATTAAATAAGATATCATAAGAAATACTTCAAGACAAAATCCACGGAACCCCTACCCCCTTACCGGACATCAATCAGCTCATACTGTAGAATTGTTCGTTTCCTGGAAGCAAATATAGACGATCTCTTAGATCAGCGCCTGCGTTCCACCACTATTGAGAAAGTAGCCAAGGAAGGAAACAAAGACTACCCTGATATCATGAAATTGATCCTCACAAAGAGCAATCCTCACTTCGTTTGTGACGCTCAAGTTCTTGTTAAATCCTGTACAGAGAAGGGAAAAGTCCTAAACAAGAAGCAGCATGGTGATAGGAGAGATTTTTCTGGATTCCGGAGACCCCTTTAACCTTCAGCAACTCGTGGAAAGAATGCTTTACTTGAGCATCAACCAGGATATTCATCTTCATAGACAGCTTCGAGAACAGAGAGAGCTTCAGCACAGTGGGTCCATGGGTCTCCAGTTTCTTGATCTTCCTACATGTTTTGCACCGCCAGCTTCGGTTACTACTCTTCCTCCTACTTCTAATCCTTCCCCAACCCTTCCTAGTTCCTTGTCGTTGTCACCCACGATCTCCTCTGAGGCCCATCTTATGGAGGTATGTCACGGTCTTCTTGCCCTCAGAATTGCTGAAATGAATACATATGATGTGGAAATTTGTGACAAAGCTGCTAGTAGTCGTACTAGAAAAGTTTTTACTGCAGGTGTGAAAACACTCCATTTGAATTTGACTGATAAAGCTGATCCTGTGCAATGCTCCCAAGCTGTTCGACGTAATGTCAATGAAGGGTCATATTCTAATTTTGTGCTGCCCGGTGAGGAGGCTATTGGTTTTAGCCATAGTCAAATACTTGAGGTGTTAAGTCTTCAAGGTAATGAAGTAGCTGAATTAAAACATCCGAGAACAGGTGTTGTTGATATGGGAGCTGGAGAGAAAAGCTGGAGCAGTTCTTGGTTAACGTCTATGAGAAACTTCTTGTTGAAAAATGGGGCTCCCAGGAGGATATCGGGTATCGTCTACTCCATCTTTCAATATATTGAGATGTTGTGAATGGTGGAAGGGAATTGAACAAAGGATTGCAACTCTTGAGTTTGATCAGGCTAGCAAATCAATGAAAGTGTTAGTAAAGTCAGATAAAGGAACTATTTCCCTACTTGTAAAGGGAGTTGTTGAAAGTTTGTTAGAGAGAAGTTCCTACATTCAGTTGCTAGATGGTTCTGTTGTCAGGCTGGCTAAAAGTTCAAAATCTCTAATTTTACAAGCTATTCACGAGATGTCACGAATGCCTTACGTTGTCTGGGATTTGCTTCCAAGGATGTTGCTGACTTCTTTAATTATGAAGGTGAAGGCCATCCTGCTCATAAACTTCTACTTGATCCTTCTAATTATGCTTTTATAGAAAGTTATCTCATATTTGCTGGTTTGGTTGGGCTGAGGCATCCTCCACGTGAAGAAGTTTACCAAGCTATTGAGGACTGTAAAGCAGCTGGCATTCGAGTAATGGTGATAACAGGAAACCTCTCTCAGCAATGCCGTAATGCTCTTGCGATTGTCCTCCCAGATTTCCTTGGAAGAAGTGCTGATCTTACTTCTTTCAACATGACATTATTGCAAAGTTTTGGGGACTTCCAAAAGGCCACTCCATTGGAGGAAAATATTGAAAACAAAATTTTCGATCCAGGAATCTGTCTTCTGCAACAACCTCTCTTTCAATAACGCGTCTCGACGGAGTCGAGCCCTTTTTAACGCAAGAGGAGAATGATGCGGAGCATTTTAAGCTTGAAGTATTCCTTAGGATATCTTATCTAGTTTGTTACTACTAGCTTCTAGAATGCTCTTTTAGCTTTATAAATATCAAGTATTGTAGTATGATGGCTCATTGAAGAATATTATGACATTTTAAAGCTTTGAAGCTTTTGTTCCTCTTCTTCCCTGGATTGGGATCGAAATCCTTCTTGCAGGTCGATTCTTCCGACGATCCACTACATCACATACTTTGCATGTTTTTTTTTTAATTAAAAAAAAATACTTTGTCTAGTTTGCATAAAGATATTTGGTGATAATCATGAAAATTGAATATAAGATAACTTCCTACAAAAACCTTAAAAAAAAGTGAGAAGGGCAATCCCATTTAAAATCATGTAACATATTTGGGTAAATTAGAAATTCTATAAATGTATGGCATCAATCTAATCTTCAATGTGTGTGATATGATTTTATTTCATGCAACCTTTTTAAAAAAATGTGAGAAGGTCAATCCCATTTAAAATCATAACATATTTGGGTAAATTAGAAATTCTAGAAATGTATGGCATCAATCTAATCTTCAATGTGTGTGATTTGATTTTATTTCATGCAACCAATACCATGGATTCTTCTATATTTCTATCTCCTCATGGTGAATCTGCATCCAGCACTATGCTTGGCAATTCTACATGATGAAATTAAGTCTACTACTATGGTAGATTCCAGAGATATCTTCTGTTAGCATAATAGGCTGCATTGTGATAATTATTGAATTACATTGCATGAAGTGTAACTTATGTCTCAATCTACTACATGAATATCAAATGTTTAATTTATCGGAGCCAAATTTTGTATGTGATGAGTAGATTTGATGGAGAACTACAAGTTTACACCCAAAAAAATCATCAAGAAAATAAATGATTTGAGCAAGATTTTAGTTCAATTTCATAAATTTATAAATGATATCCATGAGAACTATTGCATTCTATGACTATTTCCAATTCCCTGATTTGGTTTCTATGTTGGTTGGTTTAGCCTCGATTTATTGGTTTGATATTAAGTTTGTTGGTTTCGCACTAAGTTCATTGATTTGTATCATAATTGTTGGTTTTTTCTGTTACTATATTGTAGGGTTCTAGTTTGACCTCTATAGCTAGTAGTTCTTATAGCATGACTTGTGATATATGCAACCCTACTCCAATGTAAATCTACAATTGCATGAGTACTGCTATTTCATGGATATCTCCTATTCCTTAATCATGCCAAGTTCACAAGTTAGTCCCATCTAGCACTCTTATACTTCTATGGATATATAACGATAGACATAAGGATTATTATGTAGTTTCTAAGGGTATTTGTGCATCATGTTTTGCTCATATATACATAGCTTGCAGCTTTTTTAACCTAGACTTTCGAGGCAAACAATTAAGAGGATTTTTATTCATAAATATTGAAACCAAAAGCATGTAAAAGGATTTTTAACTTATTATAATGATTCAATATTGTGTGTTTGGTTGGATGTTAATTCCTTAAAGTGATGTGTAAGTGTGACTACTAATTTAGAACAAGTCATCCCTTTATACCAGTGTAGGGCATGAATTTTAAACTTGACGATCTCTTACCCTTTTATATTTCCATTTGCATAATTAAATATCATTTTTTATTGATTTTAATCATCTTGGTTATAAAAAGTTTATGAAATGCGGTGCCAATTCCAATTACATTTTGGATTTTGGTGGCTTTAAATTTCCCAACGAATGTCTAATTTCGTCAACCATTAAATTATTATTTGGCATGATTTTTTTTCATATTTTTCCATTTACATCAAAAGAAGTTTTATAGAAATCACATAGAAAATAATTTCAAGTCTAATTTACATGTTAAATACATTGCATTAGGAACTAAAACCCTAATCCTACATCACTAGCCTCCACAACATATTAGAAGCAACAAAATCGTTACAACCGGCCTAAATTCTAAACAGCAATAATCACACCCAAAAAAAAGTTTTCCTCTGTATTATAACAAATCATGAAATGCACTTTAATTCGTAGTTTGCAAGAATTTAGGAATCATTAGTACAAACAAAAATAACCAAAATATAGGTCTGATAGATTGAAGCATACACCAGGTTAAGTTGCAAAAACAACTAAGCTTACTAAATTTTCTTCACTGAGACTGATCATATTAAGCAATTCATCATAAATAGTGCAAATAAGGCTTCGTTTGGGACAAATTTCTTACTGCTTCTTAAAGCAGCTTTGTAGTACAAAAATAAATAAATAAAATTGTACTAAAAAGCTACTTTAAAAAACAGTAAGAAAGCCACCCCAAACAAAGCCTAAATCTCCATTGCTTTAAAGCAAAGTGTTTTCATCAAGAAACAGTGTCTGCACTAAAGAACCTAAAGGTCCAGAGGAAGTCTGTAAAACGAATAATTTCAAAATGCCTAAATGGATAGTTTTCAATTACAAGATTTACCACACAAGCTTAAGAAATTCATTTTATACTATCTACAGCCAAAATTATAAAACTTTGACGGTTAATAACTGTCAGACTGAATTAGCTCCAATCAACTCTAAATATTTCTTTCATAAAAACAAATAATCGCAAAAACCTTATAAAATAAGTATTTAATGCCACTAAAACTCATTTTAAATGCCTAAATGATAATTTTCTACCACATGTAGCTTTACACAAGCTTAAGACATCCATCTTATATCAGTAAAATTTCAACAAAAGAACATTAGTCATTGCACTTTCACCGAACAATTACCAGCAAATAAATCTACAGTGATTACAACGTCAACTATATGTTTAAAGGATATAAATAAAGCAATCCCTCATTTAAACGTCTTTTGCACCATTAAACTGAGAACTACATAATTGCATTACAGTGTAGCATAACATACGCTGGTAACTCTACTGCATAGCTAGCTAAAAATGAACACCCTTCCCGTGAGAAATATCTTTCCTATTATAATAGAGTAACACAGCAATTCTAACAGAATTCTCTAACTAGAATTATAATAGCATGGTCAGACATACCACAACGACCAGTTCAATAATTAACATGAATGAGACAATAAACGGGTAAAAAAGTTATTGCAGAAGACCATGTGCTTTGTAGGTGATAACATATCAATAGAAAACGGAGGAAACAAGAGGGTAAGAGGTTAATAACCTTGAGCACAAATCAAGTACACGAGAGATATAATAAGTTGATGTAATTCTAAGATAAGTTTTCTCAAAGTGCTAACCTCTGTCTCAAAAGTTATCTGGTCTAACATGGTAAAACTGAAATGTCAAACTAAATGAACAACACCTTTGCATTGTCCATAAGATATCTACTGCATCATCAAAAGCCCTGCAATGTCTACGGGATTGTCAAAAAAGAAGTATGACAAAAACTCATCACCGACTGAAAGAGGATATAGTTCATTTAACGAGAAATAGGATTAAGATTGGCATTAAACAATAGACTAGCACATGATCAAGACAGTATTATTGCTGATTTCTTTTGTATTTAACTCATTCCACAAGAGTAAGGTACCAAAACTGAAAACTTCAAGCTAAAAAATGATACTACTCCAAGGAACGAAGGAAGTTCGATTGCCGCCATGGAGTGGGGAACCTTAGTTCCAAGATCTAGAATGAGCTTGTATTGCAGAATAAAAGAATGTAGATGCTATGGAGAATAAAATTTTAAAACAACAATTAATATGTAACTAGTCATACACAAACGAAGCAAGCCTTTGCCTCAAGATTGATATAAATCCCAATCAAATTCAGGTCTTGAGAACACTTCGTAGTCTGTTTCACCATCAACTAAGCTATCAACAGTTTGCATTGCTTCCAAGATAGATGTCTGGAACCCATCAGTTTTGGAAGGCAATAGCTTATAAAAGAACAACAAGCCAAGGGTAAAAATAGCCTGCAGCTTCGTGGAATCACCCTGAACCGAGAAGAACAATAGCATCGCCAATAAAAAAAATATCACACAGAAATGCATGATACACAACACCCTGTCCATCAACTTCCCATCATTGCCAGCTGGGAAGCCTCTAACTCTGTACACGAACAAGAAGTTGTATTTGTCAACAATGAAACGGTAACCAAAGTAAAACGCTCCCACGGGAACCACAAGTGGAGAGAACAAGGAATAGATCATGGTTAGGGCAAATATTGTAAGATTGAAAGCATAGTACTGTGCGAAGTCAAACATCTGTTTTGGGACATGGAAGCTTCTATTAATTGGGTAGATTGAAAGGTCATGCCCATCAATTCCATTCAAACCTGAACTGTCTTGCCTTTCAGACATGAGAGGCGCCCTTAAATTATCACCCTCAATCTCTTCAGGGTTCTTTTCCATGGGATAATCCTCAATCTGCTCAGGGACCAGCTGAAGCATATCATTCTTGCGAAACTTCCTTAAAGTCTTCTTTATCCAAGGTATTGGGGCCAACAGATCAAACGATATTCCAAGAAAAGTACTAGTGATCAGAAATGCAAGAGAAGAAAGACATGACTTGGACAGAAAAGATGCGCTCATATACTGCTCAATACGCCTGCAATCTTCACCATCCAAGTAACATCTCCCCATTCTAAGTAACGCACTTTCAAGCGAGGACTCAACCAGAGCACGCAAAAGAATGAGGTTCACCAGAAAGAAGCAAACCATCTTCAATAATGCGGCTCGCTGCTCCCCAGAAACTGTGAGATGCCGCTCAAATTTGGACAGATACGAAAGTGCGGATGGAATAATAATATACATGCTCACAAATATAAGCACATTAGGCAAGAACTGGAGAATCACAGCAGCAAACCAGCTAGAGCCCTCAAGCCAAGTAAACCATGATTTTGCACTATCCATGGCTTCCGCATTAATAATTCTTGCAGCACTTTTCATTGCAGTTATCACTGCAAGCGGTGAACTGCAGAACAGAAGCATAACGACAAGGCAAGTGTTCACAGCCACCCTACGAAGTCCTAAGGAAAGCTTGCTAAAGCCCAAGTGGTTCCAATAGATATCTGTAGCTGGTGGAGCCCTCTCAACTCTCCAACTGCTCCGCCCAAGCTGAAGCTCCATCAATGGAAAGAACCTACCTATTGGCTTCTTCTTCCTGTCAGTCCGAAAATCCCTCACGGCTTTGTTTGCGGTATAGACATCTTTAAAGACCACAAATGCAATCCCTGCACCCGGAGCTCTACCTTCCTTGTATTCTAACAGCTTAGTCTCCAAAACCAACCTCAAGTTATGCAACTTCCTTAATCTCTCTTCATCCGTAAAACCTAACATTGAAACCATTGCAGCCCACATAGCATTCAACTTTCTCCACATGCGACTGCCACTCCCTGAGCTCAAACCATCATCTTCACAATCAGTCACAATTCTAGCATCCACCCGAGCTTCTAACAAAGAAATTTCGTTCTGGACTTTAGTCCATTGTACAATTAGATCGTCCAAAGAGCAGAGATCAAATGGTGCGACGACTCGGTAGACCTTACCGGGATAACGATGCTGAAAATACTCTTCCAGAGGACCTTTACTTGAGGCTAACGTTTTGGGTATCCCTTGAATCATGATGGTGAATATAGCAACAGAGTTAGAATTAGGGTCACTAGGGTTTCCATTGCCATCCCTGAACCTCGTTATTCTAAGCTCATCCTCCATCCTACATATGCCCAAGTGCGCAACAACGACAACCAAAACCATGAGGAAAAAGTGGAGCCACAGGAGGGGCGAACCTGCGGTGATGTGCGAAATGGTGGTGCGGGTGAACTGATCGACGATCGGGGCATCGCCAGCGCAGAGGTTGAGAGGTAGGGCGACGACGAGTGCAATCACGGAGAGTGAAACAAGGACGATGAAGCTGGAGCGCTCGATGCCGAGGAACTGGGCCGCGTCGGCGCCGCAGTGGAGGGCGATCTGGGATGCCGTGGCATGGTATACGGCGAGAAGCTTGGTTACGAGGGCGGAGGGGCCGGGGATGCCGTGGTCACTGCGGAGCTTGACTAGTAGGAAGAGGAGGAGACAGGATGCAGCGCCAACGGCGGAGATGTTAAGGAGGTACTGGATGTTTCCATACCACGCCGCTGGTTCGTCAGCATCGGGGAAGAAAGGAGGAGGAGCAGAGAGAGAGCCAGTGGCGGCCGGTGACATGGCCGGTGGGAAGGAAAACGGGGTGGTCATCCGAGGATACGGGATGAGGGGGTTTCCTTCATGTAGAAGGTAAGCCTTCAAGTAAGAAAGTGGAGACGAAGGTGCGGTGGAAATTGGGGAAGAATTGAAGCGCCTCTTTTTGTTAGTTTTTCTCGGCTTTCTCAAAAGCTAACCGAATCAATTACATTGTTAAATTTATGGACCATTTAACTTTTATTCAAATATATAAGTTGGTTAGGATTTTTTATTTTTTTATTTTATTTTATTTTATTTTTTACGTTAGATTTATAAACTCACGTGATGTTAATAACAGGTATTAATTCTCCTTACATTATAATGAGAACAATTTCTTCTAAATTTAAAATAGCCCAAAAATGTTTTAATTTTAAATAGGCCTTCTTAAAATTTAAATTATTTTTATTTCAGTAAAAGAAAATTTTTAATTTTTAATTTAAAATGATAAATTATGTCTAATATATATATATATATATATATATATATATATATATATGCCATAAAAACTCATATATAAAAGACAAATTTTAATGTTATTTTTTATATATGAAAGTAACTGAATATTTCGGCAAGATACCTCAATAATTGATGTAAAGATCAATTCATTTTTTTTAAATAAATATATAATCAAAATGATGTTAGGCAGATACGTCTAGCAATTGTTAACAGGTGAAGTTATATTATTTCAATTCTTCTTTTTTGGAGCAAAAAGCATACACATTTTATAAATAAGAGAACTAAAAAAACATCCAAAATAGTGGAAGATAACGCTTCCCGGACTTGCCTCACTCTCTTTAGCTCTTTATTACATTAAGTGTTTCTCTCTCGGCACTCTAATTCTCCTATTTCTTCAGAAGCTAAGTAATATCTCTTTAAAGTTATCACTCATGTGGATGAAATAAGAAGTTAACACTTTTCCTCCTTCAAATCTCCGCAATGAGTGTTTGTTACATAGAAGAGAATTTATGATGACATGGTGTTGAATGAGGTATCATAACTGATATAGGTAATCATGGCTCTCTTTTGAAACGTTTACGAAGAAACAGTGCTAACGTCAGCATCAAAATTGTTGAGGGTTGACGCCAAAGTATCATAATTATTGGAAAGTTAGCTATGTTCTAAAATTTAGAGTTGTTAGCCTCTTGAGCACCTTGTGAAGACTCTCTTAGCACTTTTGCCTTTCTTATGCGTTCCTTTTAGCACTTGACTCAATATTCATTAGCATCATCATGACAATCTTCATAAATTTAATCTTGACCTCAACTCCTCAAGATAACGATGCCTATGGCTCAAGTTCCTCTGAGCAACATTTATGATTCGATTAGTAGTTCCTTTCTAGACTTCAAATAGTCTTTGATTTCCTTATATCCTCAAATTTACAAATTTTCTAATTATACACCTACTCGTTAGGAGGCAATTCATTCCCCTATGAATCAAGTTATATGATAGGAAATAACATAGCTCTTCTCTCGAGAGTATATCAATGTACAAATCATTTGATTTTACTGGCTCTTCAAAGCACCTTAGTTCCACAATGGGTCATTATGTTTACCTTTCTTAGAGGATAGTCCTTCTCTAGTTGATCATCTATGCCAAGCAATAAGTCATTAATAGGAGGTTAAACTTTGTCCACCTCATCATCTATCTAAATTAAAGGCTCAAATAGCTTCAAAAATTTAATAATAAAAATTTATTACATATTCATGTAGGTCGATGATGGGGACACATAATACACATTTTCCTCGATTTTTTCATAACATTGAACCTTACACATCAAATTGATTTGACTTTTTTCATTCACTTTTCTATCTCTTTATTAATATAGAGCACTGCATGAGATTCTTTATACATTTTCTATACTCATTGTGGAGCATGTTGATGTTTGCAACGTTGATGTGCATCTTTATATTGAAATGAATCTTTCTAATCATTTCTAATTTTTTTTTCCTTTGAAGACCATTATGACTATTCTCATTAATAGTCATTATTCTACTAATAATTTTAAGTAGAATGACCTTTGATATATTTTCAAAAAATTATCTTGATCGGACACAAATCCCAAAGCAAAAATCAAGTTGAAAGCTTCAAATTTTATATCAGAAAAAAATGTGAACTCCAATTTCATCAAACTTTTAGTCGAATTGAACGTCTCAGAAATAGGAACCCAGCACCAAATTTGACTCAAAGCATCTTTGGAAGGTTCAAAACATAATTTGGATTACCTTGGATTACCAAACGGTTTCCAAATGTGACATGCTTATAGTCGAATCAAGCGGCTAGATGAGACGAATTCAACGAGCCCAATATCGTCAAATTATTATATAATTAAGACATTCAAATCTTCAATAAACACATCATGATCAATGGATTCAACGTCAACCGTCCATTCAAATCACTCCCAATTTACCCTTGATCTTTCTCCTAATTAATGATCATGCCACTCTCAGAAAACTATAAATAGACCCCTCATTTTTCATTGAAAGAGAGGAGGAAAGGGGAGAAGAAGGAAGCCCAAACAAGAAGATAAGGGAATGAAGCAAGGAAGAGAATGAAGACTCCTCGACTACAATCAGATTTTCACTCGGCAACTGACAGACGCCGGACTTCTGTCTGATCACCAACTGATGTTGTAATTAAGCGAGGAACTAAGAATGGAAGAAAGAGAAGAAAGATAGATCTATTGTGACCAGACTCTTCCTTAACCACTGTCAAACTTCCACCCGGTAGCCTATCGACGCCGGAGTTTTGCCCGAATGTCATCTGACATTGGAGTTCTACCTGGTCGTGAACTGACATTGGACTTCTACCCGACGTCGGACCACAACTTGTCGCCAGATTTTTACCTGACATCGGACTTCTACTCGTCATCGGATATTCGTCGGACTTTTATCTAACGATGGACTTCTACCTGATGTCGTCCTTTTGACCTTTGTCGCCAAACAACGGTCTTTATGACCTCTCTCGCCCATCGACTATGGTCCTTCCGACTTACGTCGCCTACTAACTATAGTCCTTCTGACCTCCGTCGCCCACCAACTATGGCCTTTCCGACCAAGCAAATATGTCAACAATGATTCTTCCTATTTCTACCATGTAACACACTCTATATAATATATATTTGTTACATAAAGTCATGGTCTTCCTTCCAATAAAGGGCCTCATTAATATTCAACTACAAAAACTAGTGGATTCATTCAAACTATGTTAGGCCCCGTGGTTTTTCCCTTTTTCAGGGTTTTCCACATAAAAATATTGGTGTCTCTTGTAAATGTCGCACCCCCTCTTTCTATCTGATTATGTGTGGATCTTCGTACATCACTAAGATGCTAAATTTTATTTTTCTTTGTCGCTGTGAATATTTAAAGATGCAACAGCTTGACATTGTCGATCTGTAGGAAAGTGGTCCATGACTGGGGGCAACTATTGCTCCAATCTCAAAAGATCGCTCTTATCAACATCCTAATATTAGCCTTTGATGCATCAATTTCATAAGAATCATATGTGGACTGTGAGACAACTTTGACTCCAACCGTGGCAAAAAAGATTTTCAAATGCTTTCAATATCATGATGATATTTCTAGAAAATTTCAGCAAATATAAGGATGTTTCTAATCAATTATAAGTTTTATACAGCCATTGCTCGATTTCTGCTCATTGGGCAATGTCTTAATCTCGACCTCAAAAAATACAGTAATAGTCTAAAGATAAACAATTATTCACCTTTGATTCGGGATACACGCGACATTCACCATATCCCAAATTAAGGCAAAATCGATCACAGGGGGATTCGATTCGACGTTTTCCACACATGTCAATGTCATCGAGCATGACTCTAACATACAACATCGGATATGTCATATATCATTAGTGAATTCTCTCGACCTCTTCCATATAGGTTAATGTCATCGAACAGGGCTCTGACATACAACCTCAGATAGGTCATATATCCTTGGTGGGTTCTCTCGACCTCTTCTACATAGGTTAACATGATCGAGTAGGGCACTAAAATACAATCTCGAAAATGTCATATATCATTGGTGGATTCTCTCGACCTCTTCCATATTAGTTAACGTCGTCGAGTATGGCTCTAACATACAATCTCAAACATGCCATACATCCTTGGTTGATTCTCTTGACTTCTTCAATATATGTTAACATCAGCGAGCAAGGCTCTAACATACGACTAGGGGTGTCAATTCGGGTCGAACCCGAGCTGACTCGGATCTAAATGGGTCAACCCGAACCCGACCCATTTTTGCAAACGGGTCGAACATTTCAGCCCGGACCCGACCTGCTCGGGTTGCCGGGTTGACCCGACCCAACCCGAGTGCGGGGCCGGTGTGAGGTTGCGGGCTGAACGCGCGCGAGTTAGCGGGGTCGCGGGACGCCGGGTTGAGGAGCGTGGGACGCCGGTCGGGCTGGACGCGGAGTGCGGGACGCGGGTCAGGCTGGATTCGGGTCGCGGGACCTGACGCCGACTACCGAGTGCGGGGTCATCCGGCTTGAGTGCTGGAAGGCGGACGTGGGATCCGCTGCTTCGCTGACGCGAAATGGGTCGTGGGACCTGACGCGGACGCGAAACGGGTCAATTCGGGTTTACCCGCGGGTTGTCTGGTCAACCCGAACCTGACCCATTTTTCAAACAGGTTAAAAATTCGAACCCGGACCCGACCCGTTTTGCAAACGGGTTGACCCAAACCCATATTTTTTCGGGTTAGGTCTGGATCGGGTTTCGGGTCGGGTCGAAAGTTGACACCCCTACATACGACCTCGAATATGTCATATATCATTGGTGGATTCTCTGTACCTCTTCCATACAGTGGAAAACATTCTCTCTGAAAAAGATTTCATGAAAGGAAGTGATTGATAAAGTCATCACTCATAAAAGACCTTAGCAGTCTAAAAAAGCCTCAAAAAATATAGATGACAATATATCAAAGCATGTCTAAACTAATAATATTAATTCAAATCTAATCTAAAGTGCATCAATGTTACCCATATATTTTTAGATTTAAAAAATAAAATAAATTACAAAACATATCTAACTTATTTTCTATCAAAATGAGTATTAACACTAATTTCAAAATAAATTTAAAATTAATTTAAATACAAAACATATAAAATATTTTTACTTAATTTCTTTTCACGCTTGAAAAG